GAACAGAGTACCTGAACAGGTAGAGAACAGAGTACCTGAACAGGTAGTGTAAAGAGTGAAATGATACATTTAGCTTCAATAATGAGTCCACACAATTCAAAGTCACGCTGCAAAAAAACTCAAGTTCAGAAAACACGTTTTAAATATATTTGACAATTATTTGACGACTATTTCTATATTTTCATAACTACAATAAATACAAACACATCTAGTAATTCCATCTACTTTCAAATGACTGAAATGTGAAAGTGGTCACTCAGCTCTACGGAGCACTTTAGCTTCTTTCAGCTTGTTGTTTTGGTTTTATGGTCGGAAACTTTATTAAGTATTATCCCGGCCTCGTCCACACATACACATGCATTATTGTAAAAGTAGCTTTTCGGCTTTCATTCGACCCAAAGCGGCGTTTTAGGTGACTGAAATCTGAGTTAAAGATTTTCAGAAACTCTGTTTTCAGTGACGTGTAGAAAACAGAGTTCTCAGATAAATAGAGCTATGGGTCGATACATCGATTGATATCAGCTTATTGCAGGTATCACGTTTATAAACTGTATGTCAGCCAATAACTGGCAGAATGCGTCAGGATCAGTCTCTCCGTTACATCGTTTGACCACCAGAGAGCTCCGACGAGTGACGTTTTATAGTATAAGTGTTTAAACGCATTCAAAACGTTTGTTATCTTCAAAAAAAGACAGAAAGACTTTTAACTAATTTATCTTAAATATCAATATCGGTATTGATCAGAGACCAGCTGGTGAACACAGTCGAACATTTAGCAACTAAAGACAGATAATTCTCCCAGAATGTGGTGGAGACCAAAAACAGAGCAAAAACAGAGAATATTGGACTTACATTTGTTGAGCGACCAGAAAAATACCTAAAACGGAATCATAATGTTGCTGCTACACGTCAACTTAAGAGTCCATGTTGTTTACAGCTTGTTTTTGCTGCCACTAAGTGGTCAGAAAAGGAGAAACACAATTCTTGCTTTAGTTCAGTTTCCATCTCAAACTTCAACAGTTTTTTTTGCTGTCTAGTAAACATGTTTTCTTCTCCCCTCCAGCAATATTTAGCAATATTCCAGGTTCCCTGAATGCATCATCCATCACCATCAGTCCTCTTACACTCACCGGAGCTTTCTCGCTTCTGTCTTCACCTGGAAGGTTCCCAGCAGCTCCAGCTGTGGGTTGTTTTCTTTGCTCAGTCGATCCCTTGTATCAAACAAGAAGGATATTTAAAAAAACAAGAGAGTGAAAGAAAGAAAGAAAGAAAGAAAGAAGTGATATTAAGCCAGACCAGCTGGCTTAGAGAAGAGGGGGGGGACCCAGAAACTGGGCTGCGTCTGGATCTGAGCTCAGTCCGCAATGAGTGGTGGTGGTCTACAATCATCAGACCCCAACGCTCAAACCCCCCCCCCCCTGTCCCACAACACACACACACACACACACTCATACCCGGTGACCTCCTGTGTCCGAGCTGGCCGGTCTGTGGAGGAGTCCAGTCACCTGTCGTTGTCACTCGCGGTATATTTAGCTCGGAGGTGTCATAGATGCTGCCTGTGTGTGTGTGTGTGTGTGTGTGTGTGTGTTTCAGTGTGTGTGTGTGGCGGAGAAAAATGTGTTGCTGACACTCAGGGCCTCGGTGGGCCTCGGTGTAAGAGCCCAGGATTACTGCACCAAAGACTGTGGGCTCTCCACATTACATCCAGAGAGAGAGAGATCAAACTGTCCTGCATGTCACGGAGCATCTGCTGGGCCGAGGATTACACTCAGCTGTCCTCTCCTGTCAGAGCGAGGCTGGCTGGACTTCCCCCATCTACCAATCTCCATCCAATATCGGTGCAGAAACTTATAATAATAATCATAACTTTATTTATAGAGCAGCTTTAAAAGCAGAGTTTACAAAGTGCTTTGACAGACAAAGCAGCAAAAAAACAAAACAGAAAGCTCAGTGAGACAGTCGATCAAAATAAACGAAGAAATAAATAAATAAAATAAAAAATAATGATAATTTAGTAAAATCAACAAATTAAAATAAAACAGAAATAAAACAGAAAAATATGTTTTAAGAAGTGATTTTAAAGCCTTATCTCCTCAGGCAGCTCGTTTCAAAGCCGAGGGGTCCTGATGACAAACGTACGGTCGCCTTTAGTTTTCAGCCTCGACTTTGGAGCAGACAGTGATTGACAGGTCTCTGCCAGAGACGTATACGGCGTCTCTACGTCACTCCTCCTCAGTCCAGATATGGTCACTTCCTGTTCACTGGTTGCAAAAAAACAAGATGGTGACGGCCGTAAGTCAAGATGACGATGAAAATCGTTGAAGTCGAGGCTTCAAGACATTCACAAAGCAATGAGAGACGTCTCGATGACTACGTCCACTTCTTACACACTGTCTTTGGTCCAGATCAAAGATATAATTGGTGTACATATACATACGTTGGTATACATACTGTACATATATTCATAAGTTAAAGTGTCTCCTCCGTGCTACAAACTGTAGGTCAGTGAGTTCCAGTGGGCGAGGATCTGCTGATTTAAAGGAAACAGTCGAAGCGTAAACGATAATTCCACCTGAACATAAATGTCGAGGCTGACTTCCCTCCTTCAACACACAGACGCAGACGGGCGGCAGGTTTGTCGGAGTTTCTGGCTCGAAGGAATGTGCGAAATGTTCCGGTGTGTTAAATCTACATGTTTTAATTTCCCCACCGTTGGTTTGCATCCATCCATGACCTCCTACTGAATAAGAAATATGCTGTTCATGTCCCCCCCCCCCCACCTCCAACGAGCTGTTTAGACGCCTGTCTGCACCATTTAGACTCGAGGAAATGAGAAGAGGTGGGACGGAGCGGAGAAGGCTAACAGTGATTGTTTGTACTTCATCCGGTCTTCAGGAAGCCGGTTAAAATTGAATTATTGCAGATTTAAACTGTCAGGAAAATCCTTCTGGTTCTGGTCCGTTTAGAGGCCGAAACAAACCTTCAGCCGTCGTCTGACTGAAGCCTCTTTCAGAGCTCCAATGGTCCAGTACAGTAGATCCATTCTTACCTTTTTAACGTATTCTCGATCAGAGGGAAGTCATAAAGATGGAGATTGATCCAAACAATTCCAGTCCAATATCTGAATCAGTTATCTGTTTCACATTTAGCAGATGGAGAGAAAGTAAATCTCTCTGAATATACAGTACACACAGTGAGAGAGTTGCCGGTTCTGCATCGGAGAACTCAAACATGACTCAGCTCTGACACAGGATTGTTGGTCCTGCAGACCCAAAATGAGGTGTTGAAAATAAGCTCCAGGTATCTTCAGAGTCAACCGTGAATGTATTATGAGAACTGATATCGGACTCAAAGATGTCTTAAGAAGGATAATCCTCGAAATCTCTTCTGAAGACTTTTACCATTTGGCCTCTTTGTTCTATTTGCTCTTTACATAGAACAGGTTTTATTTGTTGCTCATGTACAGTCTTGCTCCATCTTGATTTACCTCTTTGATTCTGGATCTTGTTATGTTTGTCTTTGCGTTAAAAGGTGCAATATAAATAAAGTTATTAAAGATGGCGTCCATTCACTTCAATGCAAATTGCTCACCAAGTGCAAAAGTCCAAAACATCTTCTAGGTCTGTTTCTGACCACAGATAACATTGTTGGATCATCTAGTCACTCTACTCTAGTCTAGTCACTCTAGTCTACTGTAGTCTAGTCACTCTAGTCTAGTCTAGTCAGTCTAGTCTAGTCACTCTAGTCTACTCTACTCTAATCTAGTCACTCTACTCTACTCTAGTATAGTCACTCTAGTCTACTATAGTCTAGTCTACTCTCGTCTACTCTACTCTAGTCTAGTCACTCTAGTCTAGTCTTGTCTACTCTAGTCTAGTCTAGTCACTCTAGTCTAGTCTAGTCTACTCTAGTCTAGTCACTCTCGTCTCGTCTCGTATAGTCTCGTCTAGTCTAGTCACTCTAGTCTAGTCACTCTAGTCTAGTCTAGTCTAGTCTTGGGATTTGGGACATTGTTAAAAGTAAATAACTTTGAGTGAACGCATTCATTTCTATAAAGTGTAAACTGGATTAAATACCAAAGCTCACATAGAAATATCTGATTAAAGGAAACGTTCTTTATTCAACAATAATCTTCTGCTGTGTATTCTGACACTTATGTGAATGTTATTGATGATATTTCAATAAGTGATCCTCCAGATTGTGTTTCATTTCTTTGTAACATGCTGTGAAGAGAGGGTCATTGTTCCTCAATGTGATCCTGAATGTTTAACATGTATTCAACACAACTGTGTCCTTTAGATGAACAATCAGCCGACGCTTCAGGGTTTGAGTCTCAGCAGAATGATGCCTGGAAGTAAAGTAAAGTATATACAGTGTGTGTGTGTGGAGTCCACATGTCGTGTGTATGACCCTGTACTTGTGTTTGCCTGTGTGCGTCCATGCTTGCTGTCTGTGTGGGCAGATAGTGTAGGAGTTGGATGAGGTGTTGGAGAAACATAAACATCCAGAGACAGAAGCAAGAAGCTCCTCCTGAAGAGATCCAGATGTGTGCAGAGAACAGATGAACCCGGACGTCTTCACACACTCTGCTGCTTCTGTTCAACTTAACTTCTCTTGGTTATGTATTAGTGATGATGTTAATAATGTTAATGTTAATATCATTAA